AAGTTTAACATGATTGAGGACTTCTTAAACATTACAAGAGTAAAGTTGACTGGTGATCTGAAGTTCAAAATGAGAAGATAGAAACATGCAGATTAACTAGTTTCTTCACAGAAAATAAATATAGACTTATGAAAAACAGAATGTATACTTGTATTATACTTAACATAAAGCACAGAAAAGACAGATAGCTATTATATGTGTTTTGTCAAAACAATTATTAAACCAGTATAATTTGTTCAAAGAATCATGTTAATTATATGGACCTGGCTCCTGAAAAATTTTCTGAGCTAGCGATTTCTAAGAAGAATTGTTTTAAGTCTAACACATTTAAAGCATTCAAATTTCAGTTATTTTCGGTTATTTTTAGGAGCATTAGATTTATATAATCACTTATTTGTCTCTATAAACTAATCAACACAGAACTCCTTTAAGAGACATAGTACACTAAGTTATTAATACCTTTCAGATGTACAAGAGTATTTCACACTGACAACAAGAGTTAAAGACCTTTCGGGTGTGGTGGTACATGCCTGTAATCCCAGTTACTTGAGAGGCTGAGGCAGGAGAATTGCTTGAACCCAGGAGGTGGAGGTTGCAGTGAGCTGAGATTGTGCCACTGCATTCCAGCCTGAGTGAGACTCTGTCTCAAAAAATAAATAAATAAAATAAAAAAGAGTTAAAGGCCTTTCTATTGCAGATGTATAGATATACAGACGCACAGAGAGTATCTTGCTTCATTTCTACAGTTCCAGCCACAGATCAAAAGTAAATATAGCAGGCTGGTCATGGTGGCTCATGCCTGTAATCCCAGCAGTTTGGGAGGCTGAGGCGAGTGGGTCACCTGAGGTCTGGAGTTTGAGACCAGCTTGGACAACATGGTGAAACCCCGTCTCTACTAAACATACAAAAAATTAGCCGGGCGTGGTGGCAGGCACCTGTAGTCCCAGCTACTCAAGAGGCTGAGGCAGGAGAATAGGTTGAACTCGGGAGGTGGAGGTTGCAGTGAGCCAAGACTGCGCCACTGCATTTCAGCCTGGATGACAGTGAGACTCCGTCTCAAAAAAAAAAAAAAAAAAGTGAACAGCAACATGAAACCTCACCAACTCAGATTTCAAACAGCTGTTCTCCTTCCCAGTGGATACGAAATTATTTTTCTTTGAGATATAGTCTCATTCTGTCACCCAGGCTAGAGTGCAGTGGTGCAATCTTGGCTCACTGCAACCTCCTTCTCCCAGGTTTCAGTGATTCCCCTGCTTCAGTCTCCCGAGTAGCTGGGATTACAGGCGCCCACGCCTGGCTAATTTTTGTATTTTTAGTAGAGACGGGGTTTCACCATGTTGGCCGGGCTGGTCTCCAGCTCCTGACCTCAAGTGATCTGCCCGCCTTGGCGTCCCAAAGTCCTGGGATTACAAGCATGAACCACTGTGCCCAGCCTGGAATTCTTCACTAATTTGAGATCACAAATAGAAAAACAAACAACAACAACAACAACAAAACGATTAGCAAACCAGTTTTTCCATTATTTTTCAACCAACAGGCATTAGGTCTCCATGATGCATCCCCCAGAGATCACCAAATAGAACATAAAGACCATCGCTGGTTTAGACCAGACCATCACTGCTGCCACCAATGGGGAATAACTTATCATTCATGTGCAGCCCCAGATAAAAACACGAAATTTACAAAAAGGGAAACAAAGTAACTAGAGAAACAGAGAATCAGCAAACTCCAAGTTCTATTATGCTTGGGATTCCCTCTGAGAGCCAAAGCGCGTGGGCTAAAAGAGCCCATGACATGCGCTTGTGCAGCCATGCAGGCTACTGGGTTCTGCCAGATGAGCCCACTGGGCCGTCTCCATAGACCTCAGTCCAAAACTTGTTATAATTTTCAAAAAGGTAAAATCATGACCTGTAGGCCGTGATATATAAACTGAACTCTTATAGAAGATTTTATGTAACTCATTGACTTTTTTTTTTGAAACGGAGTTTCACTCTTGTCACCCAAGCTGGAGTGCAATGGCACCATCTTGGCTCACTGCAACTTCTGCCTCCTGGGTTCAAGTGATTCTCCTGCCTCAGTCTCCCAAGTAACTGGGAACATAGCCACATGCCACCATGCCCGGCTAATTTTTGTATTTTTAGTAGAGACGGATTTTCACTATGTTGTCCAGGCTGCTCTTGAACTCCTGGCCTCAGGTGATCCGCCCACCTCGGCCTCCCAAACTATTGGGATTACAGGCATGAGCCACCATGCCCGGCCTCAGATAATTTTTGGACACTGATCACGACATTCTGGGGGAGGGCTGGCTGCTGTCCTTTATCAAGTTTCTAAAGACATGGGACTTAGGACAGGTACATTTTGATTTTGGATGGAGAGAGTGAAAAGGGCTGGAGCCAGCTCATGGCCCTGCTGGGAGGGCTGCCTTGGGTGGGGTTGGGAACGTCAAGCTTAGGCCCTGGGTCAGGTTACTGGGGGGACTCTGACATGAGGGCGAGGTGAGGTAGGGGTGGCTGAAGACAAACATCTCTCCATTTTGGAGGGTGAGAATCTTCCCAGGTGGGAACACCTGCCTGCCTTGCCCATTCCTTCCAGGTGGCCAAGTTCAGCTTCCTGGGCAGCAAGGAGGAGTCAGAGATGATCTTCGACTGGGTGGACGTGGAGCGGAAGGGACATCTGTCACTTGAAGAATTCAGCTCTGGACTCAGTATGTCTGTCCTTGGAGGGCCTCTGGGCACCCAGGTGTCCCGTGCAGTGTGCCCTGCATGGGGCTAGACTGGGTCGTTAGAAAGGCAGCCCTTTTCCCAGGGACTTTCACCCCACATCCCTGGCTACCAGAGTGGTCCGGGGCCCTCCCCCATGCGTTCCACCCCCCTACCCCCTCGCCTCCAGGGAGGCCTCTGGGCTTGCTCATCCCATGTCTTCTCCTCAGTAAAAGGCCTCTCCTGAGCCAGAGGTCTTGACACCACAGATTTGTTTCCGCCTGAGGAGAGTAACATTGTGGCTTTGGTTAGGGGAATTCCATGGGCCAGGGAGCAGCAGAGGGTGATATTTAGGGGTGGGGGCTTTCCAGGTGCTGAGCCCCCGCTGGGCAGGGCCGCCCCAGCACCTGCCTCTCTAGAAGGGCTGACAAGACTTAGGGAGCCCAGGACCAGCAGGGCACAATCCTCCCGCTAATCCTCTCCGTGGGAAGACCTTCCGGCCCAGGCAATGAAAGGTGTGGTGTCTTCACAGAGCCCCTGCAAGACACAGATCAGCCTTCAGTGTCCACAAAGCCACCCAGAGTTCTCAGGTCAGCTGAGTCTCCAAAAGCCTGGAGACCAGCAGAGAAGGAGGCCAGGAATTTGCGTTTACGCGTGGGCCCACTCCAGCAGAAGGTTCCTCCAGTTCTGGCAATGGAGAAGCTGAGAGTTGGGAGGAGAACTCAAGGGCTGGGCAAGGGGAATTGCCGGTGGGAGTGCAGCACAGAGGGAGCTTGTTGTCCACACAGCCTTGGGGCCGTCTTCATTCGCGAATCAAACCATGCCTGCCATGCCAGGAACTTCCCAGTGCCTGTGGGACAAACTGGAAGCCCCTTCCTGGGGCCTGCAGGGCCTGCACCCTCCAGACGCTGCCAACCTCGCTGGCTCACTCAGTGCCATTCACCCCGTCCATCTTGCTAGCCCAGTCCTGCCTCAGGGCACCTGCAGTGCTGTTCTCTTTGCCAGGCACACGCTTCTTGGAGTCCACAGGATTTGCTCCTTCTTGGGATTCACATCTCAGTTCCAGTGTCACCTCCTTAGGCCACTGCTAGCCACCTCATCTAAGTCGATCCTCCCAGTCTCTCAGTGGAAATTACCCTGCATATTCCTATATTCCTTTGGCTCACTTAGCAAGTTGGCTTAAAAAAAAAAAAAAATATATATATATATATATATTCTTTTCAACCTGCACTAGAATGTCAGCTCCACGTTAGGGATTTTGGTTAATTTTGTCACGTAGATGCTCAATACACATCCCTTGATTGAGTGCATGAAGGGTTTGTTCACTGCCTTGGAGGTGCGGTGTGATTTCCAGCAAGTCTTTTGGTGTCTCTGGGCCTCAGACGCTCATCTGTAAAATGACTACCTTAAGTAGACTCCTAAGGTTGATATGAGAAATACATGAATGTAGCCCTGTATAAATGTGACTGGCACAGGTAGAATTCCTTCCCTGAGGGCTGGAGCAGGGCTGGGTGGGAGGCCAGGCAACTGGGCCCAATACCACTGTGCTCCCCTCTGTCCGTCTCTGTCCACAGAAAACATCTTTGGCTCCAGCCAGAGCTCCCACAGGCTCCGCAGAAGGAAGCCACTGCCCTCTAAGCGGGTGTCTGCTACCACCAGTTTCCCGGCTCTGGAGGAGGCCGATGCTGAGGAGAAGGAGGCATTCCTTGCCTTCATAGAGCAGCTGGGGACTGGACACTTACTTCCCAAGTAAGGCCAGGGCAGCATGTGCACAGGGAGAGGCTCTGCCAGCCATTGACAGCAGGGGCTCCCCTGGACACAGCGTCAAGGGGGCAGGTGCCAGGTAGAGCCAGGTGCAAATCCCGGCTTGGCCATTGGCTAGCTGTGTGACCACAGGGATGGCTTCACTTCTGACCTCTGTTTCCTGGGCTGCAGAATGAGCCTAAAAGCTGTGGTGGGGTTAAAACCACACGCAGAGGATGCCTGCTTATGGGGAATCATTCCCACCCCTGCACCTCCCTGCCCTATCCTGCCCTGTAGGGTCACTCTTCAGGAGGACTAACAAGTGGGCTCAGCTTCCCAAGGGCCCTTGAATTCTTAAAACCATGGGAATCCCTGCGGGTGCCTTTCTTAACTCAGTGAGGATTCCTGGAGTTGGGGGTGATTTCAGGCATTTTGTGCCCCGGGTTGAACAGGTTTGGAGACAGAAATGCATTTCCTCCCATCCGTCTGAGGCTCTGGGTATAGGGAGTTGCCTTTGCTTAGAGAAGGGGAGCCCTGGCCTGGCTCACGCCTGTAATCCCAGCACTTTGGGAGGCCGAGGCGGGTGAATCACCTGAGGTCAGGAGTTCCAACCAGCCTGGCCAACATGATGAAACCCCGTCTCTACTAAAAATACAAAAATTAGCCGGGCATGGTGGCACATGCCTGTAATCCCAGCTACTCGGGAGGCTGAGGCAGAAGAATCGCAGCAGGAGAATCGCTTGAACCTGGGATGCAGAGGTTGCAGTGAGCTGAGATTGTGCCACTGCACTCCAGCTTGGGCGACAGAGCGAGACTCTGTCTCAAAAAAAAAAAAAAAGAAAAAGAAAAAGAAAAAAGAGAGAGAGAGAAAGAAAGGGAGCCCTGCCTGCAAACATCCCTCTCTAGGACTCCCAGGGTCTGTTAGAACCAGTGAGGGAATCACCCTCACGCACTGGCCCAGGTTTGCTCACCGCACCCGTGGGGTTCTGTGAGGACAAGATTCCTCACGCTTGGCTCCGGGAGGGTGGGGCCAGGTGCTGTGAGGCAGGCAGGGTGGGACTTAGGGTGTAGACTGGCAGGGCAGCCTTTTATTCACTTGGCAGCTTGGCCTAGGCTCAGCCCTCTGGCATCTGTCCTCACGACTTAATTAAATCCATGTGAAAGCAGCCTTTATCGGGTGCCAACCGTGTAGCAGGCCCTGAGCTGGTGCTTTCATCAGGCGTCTCTCATTCCTCAATGACCTTGCTTGGCAGGTATCAGCCCCCACCCCATTTTACAAATGAGCCCAGAGAGGGCTTGGGACTTGCTGAAGGTCACACAGCCTCAGAGTGAGAGAAGAGGGACGGCAGATGGAAGCCCTGGGCCATCAGTATCCCAAATCTTCCCATCCCACTATTACAGAATCATAGAGAGACAAAGTGTGGCAGGGGTTCAGGAAGGGAGAGGGCACACCTGGGAACGGTTCCTGGAGGAGGTGGCATTTGAGTTGCCTCTTGTAGGGTGTCAATAGATTTGGCCCAGGTGCCAAAGTCTCTTGGAGCACTGTCGTGAAAACTGAGGAGTGGGGCCCCCCTTGCTTCTCCATCCCACCTCGTGTCTGACCCTCCCATCTCTGGCTGTCCTCCCCTCCCCAGGCAGACAGAAATCTGGCAGCTGTGGGGGCAGCTGCGGCAGGAGGAGCCCCAGCTGGCAGGCAACCTGGCAGGCTTTCTGGCCAAGATGACCAGCCGCCTGCAGGAGGCCCAGGCAGACAAGGAGGCCTTGGAGCTGACCCTGAAGAAGTGAGTGGGGGGCCCGGCCGGGTGTCTGACTTGAAGTAGGTGCTCTTCACATTCCAGTGGAATCTGAATTTCCCCAGCTCCTTCTACAGCCGGGCCTGTGAGCTGGATAGGGCAGAGCTGCGCTGGAGGAAGAGGTGGCTCAGGGGACCTGGCGGGGAGGACAGAGTTGGTAATGGCAGGAGTGGGAATGGCAGGGTGTGTCTTGGTACAGGACCCGCTGTGACGCCCAACTCCAGGGGGCCTGCTCCCGTAGATTGCAATGCATGTGGTGACCCTGGAGTTGGGTTATAGGGGCAGGCGGATGGTGAAAGAGGGAGGTGGGACTGAGTGATGGGGTGATGAGGACAATGAGACCCTGGCCAGGGGAACTGGTGATGGTTACAAGGGTCGGCATGGTAGGATCAGCAGGACCAATGTCAAAGTCGTATGGGTCAGCGGGTTGTTATTGGGATTGCTGTTCTCAGAGTGACAGAGGTCAGTGACTGCTGGCAGAGTGAGGAAAGCAATAGGATGGATTCCAAACCCAAGCCCAGACTGCCCCTGCCAGCAGCAGGCTCCCAGAGGCGCTAATGGGCTGCCTGGCCCCAACTCCTGCTCCTCCCAGGTGTGACTCTGACCACCACCGCGAGGTCCAGCAGCTCTATGAGGAGATGGAGCAGCAGATCCGCCAGGAGAAGCAGCAGCTGCAGGCCGAGGTGGGCTCCTGCTGGCAGCCTGCCTCCTTCCCACTGCCCGGGACACCTCTGCTGGCTGAGGAGTGGGGCCAGTGACTGACCAGGGTGGGGTGCAGGAGGCTGCTGGAGTAAATCCTCTCCCTGGCCTGAGCAGCTTGTGTTCCCCAGAGAGATGGGGTGGGGAACGTCGAACCTGGGCCCCCTTCCCATCTCTGCCAAGTCTCCTTGTTGCCACAATCTAGGCTGGAACTGGGGGAGTTGTCCTGAGAACCCTCCCTGCTGGGACATCCTGGCCCAGGCACCCCAGGTGGTGGAGGTGGAGTGTGAGAAGGGCTGGCCTGCCCAGCTGGCTCTTAAGAGTCTGCAGGGTGAGGGCTGAATCTACCTACTCCACAGAGTGACACTCGGGGCCTGGCCCTCACCTCCCAGATGCAGGACGTCCTAGAAGCCAAGGAGCGCGAGGTGCAGCGACTAGCTGAGGGCCAGAGGGAGGTGAGTGACAGGGTTTCCCAGAAACCCACTTTCGAACAGGTTTTTAATATCTATGAGCCTCAGTTTCCTATCAGAGACATGGAAATCAGAGCTCCTGCCTTAGTAGGTACTGTGATGATTAGAGGTACTACATGGGAGGGCCTAAGACAGTGCCTGGTACATAGTAGTTTATGCATCACTTGTTCCATCTCTGAAACTGACCTAGCTTCCTGCTTAGGGTCAGGTTACCTGCTGCCCTGACACTGCAGGTCTTATAGCCTGTAGTCACTTACGGGTGGCACTGTGGTTGACTGTTCGGGTCTGAGACCCTGCCCCACTGTCTCTTCCTTCCTCAACTTGGGGACCTCTGACCTTGGTAAAATTGTCCTCTGCTGTAACCAGGACAACAAGCATCCCTTCAGCCTGGGACAAGATTCCCGGAGCCTTCCTCACCATGGCCTGGGCTGGCCCTGTTACCAAGTTGATTTCCCAGGTGCCTCTGCAGCTGCTGCTTGGAAATTGAGGCAGGCCCCTCCTGCCAAGAGAAGAGATAGGGCTTTACACCTGGGGCCATTTTGTCCTGTCCCCTGTGAAGGTGAAGCCTCTCCCCTCCAACCATTCATTCCTTCACCCCACAACTACTTATCCAGCACCAACTATGTGCCAGACACTGTTCCAGGTTCTGAGGATCATGACAGACACAAACCTCTGCCCACAGAGTTACCATCTAGTCAGGGAGACAGGTGACATACATAACATAGGAGATGGTGATCAGTGCTAAGGAGAATAAAGTAAAACAGGAAAGGGGGATAGAAGAGTTGGAATTGTAGTCAAGTAAGTTGAGAAGGGAGTCAAGGAAGGCCTGGCTGAGATGATGACATTGGAGCGAAGACCTGAAGAAGTGTGATATGCTGGGGAAGGGCATCCAGGCAGAGGGAACAGCAGGTGCGAAGGCCCTGAGCGGGCATGCGCTGTGGAAGTTCACGGAACAGTAAGCAGAGCTGTGGACTGAACAGACTGAGAGGGAACAGTCATAGGAAAGGAGATGAGGGTCATGAGGGGAGGTGAGGAGGCTGCAGGGAGACTCTTCAGGGTCCCGGAGGCCATTGCAAGGGCTTGCCTTTCCCTACACCTGGCCAGGCAGCGTTCCCTCTCTCGGTCATGTGATTTGCTGTTGGATCAGGAGCCCCCTGTAGACCAGATGGTCTCAGGGGCCAGCAGCCATTGCAGGGCTCTGAGTAGAGGAGGGTGGGATCTGGTTTAGGTGTGGGGTCTTTGTGGCACTGCTGGTTTTTGTTCCTCACACAGTCTCCCTGCCCTCCCTGCCTCAGGATTTCCAATGCCCCTCCTGGACAGGAGCTAATGGAGCTAGTTAGGCCAAGGAGGGATAACTGCCCATTCTTACTCTGATTTAAGCTGGGTCTCCGGGAGCCTGGACAGGGGGTGGGAGTCTGTGTCTCACAATGGCCTTGGGAGGCTTTTTGCTGCCCTGGAGGGCATCTGGGCTTCTCTCCGCCTCACCCTCCACCCTGCAGCTGGAGGCCCAGCTCTCCCACCTCAGGAGCACACATCAGGAGGCTGCCTCAGAGAACCAGCAGCTGCGGGAGGCCAAGCGTGACCTGGCCGGGCGGCTGGAGGAGGTGCAGGGGCAGCTGCAGGTGACCAGGGGGCGCCTGGACGCCACCAGGGGCCGGGTGTCCTGGCAGGTGGAGGAGAAACTGAGGCAAGTGGCTGCTATCCCTGGACTGGGGTGGACTCTAGGGGCCTCCTGGAACCAGTGGGGAACTCTGAGTTCTCTAAGAATCTAGCTAGCACACAGTGCACACACAGCTTCCTTCCTTAAACCCCACCCTCTGCCAAGCTGGAACTATCACGCCCATTTCTGAGATGAGGAAACTGGGGCACAAAAAAGGGAAACACCTGTGCCCAAGACCACATGGCTAGAATTAAAACATGCACGTGTGTGGGTGTACATGTACACACACACACACACACACACACACACACACACAAAGGCTTAGTGCAGTGCAAGATCCCTAGCAGGCACTCACTCTACTTGTTATAGCTCAGAGGAGTGGGATGGGCCAGAATGATCAAGGAAGGCTTCCTGGAGGAGGTGAGGCTTCATGTGGGTCTTGAGGATGGACGAGATTGGATGAGGAGGAGGAGTGGGGAGCACACACCAGGTGAGAAGGATTGCCTGAGCGAGGACTGGGAGGAGGCCTGGCCATGGGGAGAGCAAGGGATGGTGAAGGCTGCAGGTAGGATGGGTGTGACACCACCTACCTGCCCCTCCCCTGATCTTTGCTTCCCTGCTTCCTTTCCAGTGTTCCTGGAGTGGGTGAGAAGACCCCAGACCCTCGGGCTGTCTCCCCTGAGGAGGCCCCCCTGCCTGGGCTATTTGGGGACAATGATGACTGGGACCAGCTCCTGAGCAACTTTGGCAGCCCTCCGCACGGAGCCCTGCAGCTCTGCTGGAGCCCGCCCCCGACCCCAAGAGCCGCCTCAGGCCCCCAGACACCCCGTGTGGTCAGGCAGATCTCCATCTCGGAGCCACAGGCTTTACTATTCGGTCAGGAGCCATCTTCAGATCCAGATGGGGCTCCAAAGACCCCCCCTGGGGTGCCTTTCGGCGCCAAGGACAGTAAAGGAGTGGACCCAGATGAGCAGGACATTAGTGCAGAGCAGCCTGTCGAACCGCACAACCTGGACCCCAACCAGGAGCCGGGGTCCACCCCCGAGGGCCGCCTCCTCTGGGGTCTCTCAGGAAGCCTGGTGGCACCTGCATTCAAAGTGCTCATTCCTTTGGAGGATGGGCCCCCTCCCCCTCCCCAGGCCCCAGCTGGGTCCAGCAAACAGATCCAGGCCTCAGACCCAGATGACAAGGACCCTGGGTCTTGGGCTCCTCCCAGGGGGGCTCAGCCTGGGGCTGGAGCAGGACCCACACAAACCCCTCCCACCATGACTGAGCCGGAAACCCAGCCCGGACCCTCGCCCACAACTGCCTTCACAGGAGTGGACCCAGCCAAGCCGCCCAGGCAGAGAGATACCCTCCAGCAGAACCTGCATGCCACTGGCTCTGAGCCAAGACCGGGGGCCCAGAGGGCCAGAGCCCTCACCCTGGGGCCAACTGAGCCCTTCCAGGGCCTGGAGTTTGTGGGTCCGCTGCCCACAGAGAGGTTGGAGCAGGGCCACGCAGGCCCAGTGGTGCAGGAGGGCCTTCCTGAGGGGCTAAGAGAAGCTCATGGCCGGGTCCTTGGGCTGGATGAGCTGCCTGCCCTCCCCCACCAGGGGCTAGAAGAGGAACCCAGGTCTGAGGAAGGAAAACAAGAGGGCCGAGGTGAACAGGACCTCAGTTCAGAGCAGTCAGTTGAGGCTCACGGCCTGGAAACTGCGCATTCGCAACTCCCCCAGCAAGATTCTCTGCTTGCTTCTCTCCCATCTGCCACACCACAGGCTCAGGTGGAAGCAGAAGCCCCCGCTCCTGGAAAACCAGCACCTCCAAAGGACTCTCCTCCCGGAGGGGCTCAGCCTGGGGCTGGAGCAGGAACCAAGGAACCCACGCGAACCCCTCCCACCATGGCTGAGCAGGAAGTCCAACCCAGGCCATCCCTCATGACTGCTCACGCGGAAGAACAAGGCCCCCGTCACTCCGGGGAACCAAGGGCAGAGAGCAGACTTGACGATCCAGGAACGGACTCCAGGGAGGCTGGGCTGACCCCATCCCCGGGAGACCCCATGGCTGCAGGGGAACCCCAGGCCAACCCTGATTACCTCTTCCATGTCATCTTCCTGGGAGACTCCAACGTGGGCAAAACATCCTTCCTGCACCTGCTGCACCAGAATTCCTTCGCCACCGGCTTGACAGCTACCGTGGGTAAGGGCACCGAGGAGGGCGGCGGGGAGGAGGGGAGATGCAGGGGCCAGGGCCAACGAGTGGCAGCAGGCCCAGACCAAGCCATCCCTGAGGAAGCTGCAGGTTCTGCCCTGGCCACGGGCCCTGCATTAGACATTGTTTTATATGGGCATAACCTTACTATTTCACTAATCGTCTCTAATTACAGGTAATTTGCTTTTTCTGCATTGATCTGATTAGCTTATAATGTGCCACATCAACAATGCACCCTGCAATTTAGGTGCCTGCGAGAGTTGATGGTGAAAACAAGCAAGTTTCCACTCATGTGGCCCGTGGGCAGGCCAGAGCAGGGTCTGTGCTGGTTGGATTTGCTCATGACTAGCTCCAGGCTGGGCGGCGATGGTCTGGCAGGAAGTCACCTTGAGCAAGCTGGATATTTTACACAGAATGTGTTTGTAGAGTGTGGTAAATTAGGAACCCAGGTGCCTGAATTCAAATTTTAGCCCTGCCACTTATTGGGGTCTGAATTTGGACAAATGATTTAACCCTTTCGAACCCCCAAATCCTCATCTGCATAATCGGACAACAGTAGTGCTGCCTTCCTAGAGCGGTTGAGGATTAGTTGAGTTGATATGTCAAGATCTTAGAATAATAACTGACATGTAGCGAGTACTCCGTAAGTATTAGTTATTATGATTGTTATGATTATTATAAGTAAATATTTGATCATGTCTAACTCAGTGGCTCCTGCAAGAAATGGCTGAAAGCAGAGAACCTTCCCTCCCTAAAAGTATCAGCATATGCGGCCACTGAACCCCATACAGAGCTACAGAAAAGCAAACCCGAGGGAATGGAGGGGAGACCCACCTAGGGACAAAGACGTCATGCCATGCCTGTCTTTGTATTAGACCAGGGCACATGCCGACTGAAGATCAGTGCCAGACCAGTCGGTAAATGACAGCTCCCCACAAGAGAGGCCTGGGGCAGGTTCTCAAACTTTTCTTGCCCAAGAAGCCTCACCTGGGAGCCAGTTAAAAATGCAATTCCCTCAGGAAGAGGAAACCTATAGCAGGCTGGCCTGATGTTGAGTGGGGTCACAGGATCTACAACGCTACCATGATTTTATTTATTTATTTATTGAGATAGAGTCTCGCCCCGTCACCCAGGCTCAAGTGCAGTGGCACAATTTCTGCTCACTGCAACCTCTGCTTCCTGGGTTCAAGTGATTCTCCTGCCTCAGCCTCCCAAGTAGCTGAGACTACAGGTGTGTGCCACTTCACCTGGCTTATTTTTGTACTTTTAGTAGAGATGAAGTTCACCATGTTGGCCAGGCTGGTGACCTCAGGTGATCCACCCGCCTCAGCCTCCCAAAGTGCTGGGATTACAGGCATGAGCCACCGTGCCCGGCCAAGGCTACCATTATTAGTCACCTAAGCTACCGTTTACTGACCACCTCCCATGCACTAGGCATCTTCCATACATGTCTTATTCCTTACAACAGCCTTCCTTAGATGGAGCCTCCCCCTTTATTATGTGGTGAGAAGTTCCCACAAAATTCAATCAAGAAAAACACAAGCTGCATAATTGTGAACCAACCAACCAACCAACCAACCAACCAACCAACCAATCAACCAGGCAAGCCGGCATGCACTGGGTGTACCCGAGATCCAAGTACTTGGTCCAGATCTGTCCCAATCCCAGCTACGGTTTGCTGCCCCCTGGTGGCTATCGTCTATTCCGGTTTAAATACCACAGGAAATGATCTGCCTTCATTGGTCAATTATTTCCCTACCTGGCGTCACCTTCCCTCCATTCTTGCCCCACCCCGCTACCTCACAACATAAGAACTCTACCCTGCCTGCATTTGAGGACAGGACCAGATAGAGAATTACAGCCAACGGAGTTATATTTGAATGTCCATTTCCCATATCTATCCCCATTTTACAGATGAGGAAAGCAGAGAATTGAAGACCTGGTTAAGTTTCTTGCCCTAGCTGGGCCCCCAAAGTTAAGGCTACCTACCTTAAAAGCCCTGCCTCCACACCAGAAGTTTTATCCTCTTTTCTGGGTCTGCTCACTTAAAACAGCATTTTTTTTTTTTTTTTTTTTTTTTTAGATGGAGTTATGCTCTGTCGCCCAGGCTAGAGTGCCGTGGCACCATCTCCGCTCACTGCAACCTCCGCTTCCTGGGTTCAAGTGATTCTCCTGCCTCAGCCTCCCGAGTAGCTGGGATTACAGGCGTGTGCCACTCAGGTGATCCACCCGCCTCAGCCTCCCAAAGTGCTGGGATTACAGGCGTGAGCCGCCGCGCCCGGCCTTATTTATTTATTTATTTATTTTTTTGAGACAGAGTTTCACTCTTGTTGCCCAGGCTGGAGTGCAGTGGCGGGATCTTGGCTCCCTGTAACCTCCGCCTCTCGGGTTCAAGTGATTCTCCTGCCTCAGCCTCCCGAGTAGCTGGGATTACAGGCGTGTGCCACCACACCCGGCTGATTAAAACAGCACCTCTGCTTCTTGGGTTCAAGTGATTCTCCTGCCTCAGCCTCCCGAGTAGCTGGGATTACAGGCGTGTGCCACCACACCCGGCTGATTAAAACAGCATTTTAATCCTCCAGCCACTCTGCAGTGTAGGTCTTTCTAATTTGCCACTTTGCAGACAACGAAAGAGAGGCTCACAGAAGTGAAATGACTTGCCTGAGGTCGGTCCTGTAACCAGTGTAACAGTGGCCTGAAGCCAGCATTCCTTATGCCCCTCTGGGCTGCTTGTCTCCCCTGCTGTCTGGTTGAGAGGGGAAGGTGCATGCGATAATTGGGGAATGGAAAAAGGAGTAGTGTAAAAATAAAATAATGAAACTTGTATTCTGGGTGACCTAAGGAATAAACATCGTAGACAAGGTGCCTTGGGTTGGCACAAACTGCCAGTATGGCAGGGAGGTCTGGGAAGGCTTCCTGAAGAAAGTGGGTCTCGAGGACGGATGGAATGCAGAGCGGAAGGGAAGCCCAGCAGCCAAGGGCTCTATCGCACTGCAGCTGGTACAGGGAACAGGTGTATACTGGGGTAGGCCTTGTCTAGGAGTCCTGGATGGTAACTTAGTAGGCTTCACCCCTCTTTATGTGTCCTAGGAGTAGATTTTCGGGTCAAAACCTTGCTGGTGGACAACAAGTGCTTTGTGCTGCAGCTCTGGGACACGGCTGGCCAAGAGAGGTAACAGGCAATGTGTATCAGTGGTGTCAGGAACTAGGCTGAGTGTAGGGGTGCAGAGGGACACACAGCAGCCCCAATAACATGGGCGGGAGGCAACTGCCCCCTGAGGATTCAGGAGGTCAGGGAAGGAGAGATGAGTCAAGCCCAAGGCAGGGGAGAGAGGGCAGCAGAGCCAGAGGTCCCTCAGCCTGGCAGGGCATATATTAGGGCTGTCCCAACATGGTCATTAGTGGACAGCCACTCAATCACCTGTCCTTCTGAAAATGCTGGTCTTCTACTTTCAACCTAGGCAGAAGTGATCAAAACTTTTTTTTCTTTTCTTTTTGAGATGGAGTCTCACTCTATTGCTCAGGCTGGATCTGGGAGTCTCACTCTATTGCAGAGGCGCGATCTGGGCTCACCACAACCTCCACCTCCTGGGTTCAAGCGATTCTCCTGTTTTCAGCCTCCCGAGTAGCTGGGACTACAGGTGCCTGCTACCACATCTGGCTAATTTTTGTGTTTTTAGTAGAGATGGGGTTTCATCATATTGGCCAGGCTGGTCTCGAACTTCTGACCTTGTGATCTGCCTGCTTCAGCTTCCCGCAGTGCTGGGATTCCAGGCATGAGCTACTGCACCAGGCAGTAATCAAAACTTAAAAGGCATATCTTATTTGATTCTGCAGTTCCACATCTAGAAATTTATTCTACAGACAGACTCATATATGACTATAATAACAAAGGAACCAGGACCATTCGTAGTATTATCACTTGTGTTATTAAAATAGGAAACAACCTAAATGTCCATCAATAGGGGACCAGTTAGATAAAGTAGGGTCAGTCCACCCAATATAACACTGTAAAGCCACACAAAGACTGAGGACTGTCTTTACGTACAAATAGGGTTTTTTTTTTTTTTTTTTGAGACACAGTCTTGCTCTGTCGCCCAAGCTGGAGTGTGGTGGCGTGATCTCAGCTCACTGCAACCTCCGCCTCCAGGGCTTAAGTGATTCTTGTGCCTCAGCCTCCTGAGGAGCTGGGGCTACAGGCACACGCCACCACATCCAGCTAATTTTTGTATTTTTAGTAGACACGGGCTTTCACCATGTTGGCCAGGCCGATCTGGAACTTCTGACCACAAATGGTCCTCCTGCCTCAGCCTCCCAAAGTGCTGGGATTACAGGCGTGAGCCACTGCACCCAGTCCGATAGGGAAATTTCTCTAAGACATCCTGTTAACTGGAAAAAACCAAAATGCAGAACACTGAATATTAATGAGTATGATGAATGTTTTACACTGTATTTGTATAAAATAGAGGCAGAAAGATGTATGTGTACGGGTGTATATATGTGTGTGTATATATATGTATATACATAAAATACCTCTGGAAAAATATTTAAGAAACTGATAACCCTGGTTGCCTCTGGGGAGGGGGACTAGGTGGCTCCAGGATGGGGCAGAAGGAAGGAGACTTTTCACTGAGTTCTCCTTGAGACCTTTTGAAATTTGGGCCATGAGAACTGTTACCTCGTCAACAAGAACTACACCGTACGAAGGAAAGCATACAGACGTGCTCTGTGGGAAGCAATTAGAAGTAGGATAGGTTACTTCTCCCACTTTGCAGAGGCCAGGACCTGGGGTCGGGATGCCTGGTGTGGCCTCATGCAGACTCTCTGGGCAGGTACCACAGCATGACGCGGCAGCTGCTCCGCAAGGCTGATGGGGTAGTGCTCATGTACGACATCACCTCCCAGGAGAGCTTTGGCCACGTGCGCTACTGGCTAGACTGTCTCCAGGTGAGCAGATGGCTGCTGGGGTTGGCCCCAGTCCCTCCAGTCAAGAGGGACCTTATATCCTGCCACTCCCTCTTTTCTCCTAGGATTACAAACGACATGACAGACATATGGGTGACACCACCCACTGAGGGCATGTGGTTGGATGAGCTGGGAATGCAGTAGTACAAAGAAACGACAACCACATAGCATAGGCTTCAAACAAAACTACTTCCTTTATCCTGTGAACATTCTCTTCCTACATATGGCAGCTCTGTTTATAATGTCTTCTTCTTACACTTGAGGCTAATGTAGTTCTAGTGCCATGCCACGTGATAATTCCTCTGTTCACACATCTCTAGTTTTTCCCCTGCATACTTCCTCAAAGCATATATACTGAAATTCTGCAGTGTGTACTAGCACAGCAGAGGGGTGTGAAGTTAGCCATGTTGTCTTCTCTCTGGAAGTTTCTAGTTTAGCAAAAGAAGCAGGATAAGGTAATGTGTGAAGAGGGGAGCTGAGCGCTGGGGTCTGACAGGACCTAGATTTGAATCCCACCCACCCCAACTCTGTGACTTTGGACAAGTGAATTGAGCTCTCTGAACTTCAATTTCCTGACTTCTTTCATAGGGGAGCTGTGAGGATTAACTGATATAATTGATTTCAGCATAGCACCTGGTGTATAACAATCACTCATTAATCAGAAACTATTATTATTATTATTCATGAAACAATTGGGAAAATGTATAATCAAGTGCTGGACTGTTCAACACAGGCAGGAAGAGAGGGCATGGGCAGGAACAATCCAGGAAGGCTTCCTGGGGGAGGTGTTCTTAAGGTTGGCCTTGGAAAATAGGTGAGATGTTTATCAGCAGAAAGGAAGGATGGGGGAAAGGGTCCAGGTGAGAAGGATATGGAGTGGATGTGGCCTGAGAGTGGGAACATGGGGGACACACTTCAGCTTCTAGGAGGGCAAATGTGCCAGGGGCCTGGCACACAGTGGTTGTGGCTGAGAGAACATGTTCTGTGTGCAGGACGCAGGGTCGGATGGGGTGGTCATCCTTCTCCTGGGAAACAAGATGGACTGTGAGGAAGAACGGCAAGTGTCCACAGAAGCTGGGCAGCAACTGGCCCGGGTAAGCACTTGGGCATCAGCCCGTCTCTGTGTGTGGACCGGGCAGATGCCTCCCTGGCGGGTAGTGGATAGGCGTCACTTGACCTGGGCAGCCGAGGAGAACCCATGGCCCATTCCTGCCCCTGCCCCAACCAAAGCCCTGCTCAGAGCGAACAGCCTGGCCGCCTCTGCCTCCCACACAGCCCCGGCCTCTGGAGATGCGTTTTAAGCCCAAACCCGAGGCTGGAGTGGCGAGGGTGATACTGAACCTCATTGTTGAATTAGCACATTCCCACACCATGTCCCCACCTACATAAGAAATAGCTTCAGAGTAAAAAGGTTTTAAAAGCTTTGCTTAAAATTCCCAATCAAATTTTAATTTTATCTCTGGTCTCTAATTAACGTGCTGCCTTCTAAGTTCTCCTATTTTAAGACTCAAATTCTCCCTTGGGATGATTACATCAAAAGCTCCACTGCCAGACAGTGAATACTATTTATTCATGAATAGCATTTAACCACATTCCAGAAAATCTGGAGAGAATAAAAATAGAGGGGAAAATCACTCCTCGCCCCACCTCTCACGCAACCCCTCTTGGCGTTTTCATACCGCATTTTCTTCCTGTTTCTCTTCCCACTTCCCATGTCATGAGGTCATCATTGTGGCTCCTGCCTGAAAGGAATTTTTTTCTTTTTCTTTCTTTTTTTTTTTTTTTTTTTTTGAGCTGGAATCTTGCTCTGTCGCCCAGGCTGGAGTGCAGTGGCATGATCTCGGCTCACTGCAACCTCCGACTCCCAGGTTCAAGCGATTCTCCCACCTCAGCCTCCTTAGTAGCTGGGACTACAGACGAGCGCCCCCAGGCCCAGCTAATTTTTGTATATTTAGTAGAGACGGGGTTTCGTCATGTTGGCCAGGCTGATCTGGAACTCCTGACCTCAGGTGATCTGCCTGCCTCAGCCTCCCAAAGTGCTGGGATTACAGGCGTGAGCCACTGTGCTCGGCCTTTTTCTTAAAAGTAGTAACTCAACCCTTTGACATAGTAATTTATCCTCTAGCAATTTATCCTAAGGGAAGACTCGGAAGTAATAATCCCTAAAGGAACACCTAATGGATACCCATGTATAACGTACAATCGCACATATTTATATGAGGGCTTTCAAATATTATTTATAAGAACAAACATTTGGCAGTAATTGGTGGTTAAATTGTGGATGTTCATACGAGAGGTATTTGCCATTAAGAATCCCGTCTTGGAAAAATATTTAAGGGTGTGGGGGAAATGTTTACAATATAATAGAAAATCATATAAGCAGCTACAAATCTAGATATAGGTTAGGTTGAAACATACGAAATTGCTGATATTTGACTGGGGCATGCCAAAAATAGCAATTTCATCTGGTTTAACCTAACTGTACAGGGCATTTAGCCCCTGTCCCATAAAAGGGTTATATAAAACAGAATGGCAATATCTTCCCAAACGCTAACAGCAGTGGTTTAGATATTGAGCGTGTACTTTCTTATACTGTATCTTCCAATATTCTCCCAATGAAATATTTTTGAAATTAAAAAACGTAACTGGCCGGGCGTGGTGGCTCATGCCTGTAATCCCAGCACTTTGGGAGGCTGAGGCGGGTGGATCACGAGGTCAGGAGATCAAGACCATCCTGGCTAACACGGTGAAACCCCGTCTCTACTAAAAACAAAATAATGCAAAAACTTAGCCGGACCGTGGCAGCGGGCCCGCCTGTAGTCCCAGCTACTGGGAGGCTGAGCCAGGAGAATGGGCGAAGAGCGAGTCCCAGCTACTTGGGGAGGCGGAGCTTGCGGTGAGCCCGAGATCCGCCGCACTGGCACTCCAGCCTAGGCGACTGAGCGAGACTCTGTCTCAAAAAAAAAAAAAAAAAAAACCGCGCCGGCGCGCGCTGGCTCAAGCCTGTAATCCCAGCACTTTGGGAGGCCGAGCAATGGGCTGGAGTCACGAGGTCAGGAGATCGAGACCATCCCTGGCTAACCCCGGTGAAACAACCGTTGCTCACTAGAAATTACAAAAAAGTAAGCGGGCCGATAGGTTGGCCGGCCCGCGCCTGTATCCCAGCCTACTCAGAGGCTGGAGGCCTGGAAGAATGGCGTGAACCCGGGAGCTCGGAGCTTGCCAGTGAGCTGAGAATCCGGCCCACTGCCACTCCAGCCTGGGCGCTACAGAGCGCAGACTCCGCTCTCAAAAAGAAAAAAAAAAAAAAAAAAAAAAAAAAAACCTAACATTTATAAAATGTCTCCAGAGACCTTTCTCCAGTTGGGATGCAGGCTTCCCCCAACGCTACCTCCGAAGGCTGTGAGTGTCGTTTCGGTGCTTCTTTGAACACCCTTGGCCAGCCGGGTGAAGGGACAGTGGGCAAAGGGCTTCAGCCAGGGATGGTGGCCCACGCCCGAGACGGGGCCTGTCTGGCTCGCCACTTGAGGTCGGCTTAGGGAATGCCTTGGACTCTGATGGCCAGGACTTTAGCGGTGGGGTACAGCGTGGCCTTGCGCAGTTGGTCTCTCCCAAGGCACACATCTGCCGCGCTCCCCTGTCTGGCCTGCAGGAACTTGGGGTGTCTCTTTTGGGGAGTGCCATGTGCCGCCTTGGGTCACAACATCCTGGAGCCTGCTGGTAAAACCTGCGGCAGGTAAGGTG